GCCCGGCCGGCCACACACAGTGACGGGAGAACGAGCCGGCGGGGGACGTGGGCCCGGGAGGCTCTGGCGGCTGCCAGGGCCGAGCAGCTGCGGTCGGGCCCTTGGGCCACTGGGTGCACGGGGGCGTTGGGGCAAAACCAGATAAGACGGTGAGAGGACGGTGGCCCGAGGGTCCCCCCAGGGGTCTGACGCCATGGGCCCCTCGACCTGGGCCAGAACGGCACCCTCACCCCGCAAGACGGGTGTCGGAAGTGAGCGTCTCCGGGGCTCCCCGTCCCCCTCTGAGCGGCACCTTGCGGACGCTGCGCCCCGACACGGTGTCCGGCTGTCCCGGCCCAGCCAGCAGCCAGCACCGCCCCCCACCCACCCTCCACCTTCCCGTCCGGCGAGGCCCTTCCCGGGTCGCTGCTCAGCACCACCGAGGCTGCCGGACTCGCCGCTCTCCACAGAGAAACTCCCACCCAGCCTCCCGGGGCGGGGGGCCCACACTGGGGTCATCTCTGGCTCGTATGTGGCCCCTTCGGGTCACCTCCAGAGCCCCTCACGCGTCACGGTTGCTCGGCCACTGTTTCCGCGGCCGGAAACGGCGCCCCGAGTCCCCGTGTGAGTTCGCCGCTGACCGCCCTCGCCGGGTTCCAGCTCAGAGGCTGAGCGAGCACTTGCTCTGCTGAGCGAGGCGCACAGGAAGCCGGAACCAAGGTCTCCGAACAGGCGGCCCCCCGGCTCCTCGCGCTCAGAGGCGACCAAGCCCGGACCCCGGGAGACCAGGGGCCCCGGCGCGTCTTCCCTGGGCACCCAGAGCGCCCGCCCCAGGCCCACGCCGGGGGGTGGGGGCGCCAGGCCAGCCACGCAGCCGAGGCTATAAACAGCGCGAGCCTCGGACCCCGCGGTAACAGTTTCTGAAACGGTCACTTCGGATTAAGCGGCGGGGAGGGGGGACCACAATGACCGGGTCTGAAGCGGAGCAGCGGGGCGCAGACACGTCCCGTCCGAGGAACCCCGAGAGACGGAGGGCCCTGCGGTGCGTCCTCTGGGCCCTGGTGCCCTTCCGAAACGCACAGCGCGGAGGCGGCCGGGGACCCCTCGGGCCTCAGGTGTGGGGGGACTGTGGGGGGAGGGGCGGGGGAGAGGGAGGGCAGACACCACCATGTCCAGCCAGCGACGTCTCTGTGGGTCAGTCCCCAGCAGAGGCGTCCACACCGAGCCCCTGGCCAGGGGACGTGCGCGGCGGAGCGAGGCCGACCAGGACGCGAGAGACGTCCGTCCCTCCAGGAGGCCCAGCCTCTCCAGCACACCCCCCTCCCTGCGGCAACCGGGGTGCGCAGCCGCCGGGGAATTCGAGGCCCCGCCCTGACCTGGGTCCCCAGCCCGGAGGTGTCGCGGGGACACCAGCCGTGGGTCCTGTGCGCCACTGCTCCCTGCTTCCGCCCCCCCAGCGGCAGCGGCAAAACCCGCTCCACCGGGCCCTCCCGGGCCCTCGACCGGCAGCCCCCAGCCCGTCGGACCCCACCTGCCGCCAGCCTGCACCACCCCCTGCGCTCCCCGCGGGTCCCAGGCGCAGCCTTCTCCGTCGGGGGAACTCCACTGCGTCTCCCCACCATCTTGCTTCCTTGCTGCTCTGAGGTGACGGACACGTTCAGACCGCACGAGGCCCAGAGCACCCCCAAACGCCAGAGGGTACCCCTGTGTGGGCAACCGCGCCATACTCCCCGCTGGCTGCCCACCCCGGCCGTGTCCCCACTGCTGACGGGGTCACGGTCAGTGCGGTCCCCACCGGTCACAGCAGCCTGAGGCTGGGCCTCGCCCCCCGCCTGGCCAGTGCTGCCGCCCCAGTGCGCCCCGACCCTCCGTGCCTTCAGGGGTGTGGGGTCAACACCCGCTCCTGGGCCCCCGGCCGCCCCCCTCACTGGACACTCCACCAGGACACACGCGGGGGGAAGAGACTGCGCTCGTCCACGCGGGCCCGTCGGGGGCAGTCAGTCCCGCTCGCCGCGGAGGACGCGGAGGGGAGGGGGGACACGTCGCATCTACTGACCCCGTTCGAACCGTGCTGATCCCGGCCACCTGCTTCTCTGTTTTAGGGAAGGGAAGCCCTGGAGCCCCCCTGCCCCCCCAGCCAGGGTCCCACGAGTGTTCTCGAGTCTTCGCACAGACAGCCCCGCGCCCCCGCCCTGACGGCCCCGGGAGCCCGGACAGTGTCTGCCGCGGGACGCTCACACTGGCGTCTCTGGGCTCTCCGGGGGCCTGGCCGGACGCGTGTCCGTCCCCGGACACACCCCCCACCGACCCACGTTCGCCCTCCATCCGCTCTTCCAAGGGCTGGGCAGACGCCCGGTGAGCGAGCCCGAGAGAGGAAGGGGGGACGCAGCACGGCCCTGGGCCTGGAGGCCCCAAAAATGCACCAGAGGACCGCCCGCCCCCACTCCCCCGAGGGAGGGGGGGCCAGAAGACGCCGGCGCCCGGCTGCTGCCCACAGACGCTCTCGGTCGCCTGTCCGGGACGGCACCTGCCTGTCCACGGAGCTCCGCGGGGGCCTCCGACGCCGGCCGGGGCTGAGCCCGAGGGCACAGGGACGGGCGGGCGGGGTGGGGGGCGCAGTCAGACCCCCACCCACGTGCAGAAAAAGCCACTCATGGGTGGAGGTGGGCGCTGGGCCGGGACCCTCACGGAAGGAGACGCTAGTTTTGTGGGAGTGCGCGTCTCGTGTCCCCCAACAGTCGGAGCACCCCCGGGAAACAGGCGCCCGGACGGCCTGGGCCTCGGAGGACGAGCCGGTGAGACTCCCGCCGAGTCCGGCGGCTCCCCCCACCCCCGCTCACCGCTTGTGCGACCCTCATCCGCCCCCGACCGACCAGGCGGCCGCTTCCCTGTGGCCTCGTGCCGACCCGCCCGGGGACCGCAGCTCGAGGGCCCGGGCTGAGGAAACCCGGGACGGTGGGCGACCACAGCGGGTGCCCCCGCAGAGACCCCCCCCGGGCCCCATGCCCTGAAGAGGGACGGCACCGTGGCCGCTCACAGCCCCCCCCCCACACACACACACACCGGGCTTTGCGGGGAGAAGCCCCGCGGCCCCGAGGCCCCTCGGGCACCTCGGAGAGAAGCGACCCTGCGAATGTTCCGTCCGGAAAACTCGGAGGGAGAAACCGGGACGCCGACCCTGAACCGGCCTTGTCCGGGGCGGCACGGGCCCGTGCAGGGGGTGCGGGCCGACACGGTGACCCGCAGCCCGGGGAGGGTCCGGGCCAAGCCGGCACCGGCGTCAGCAGAAAACCCACGGCCCTCTGTGAGGGGGGTGGCTTCCGTTTGAGGCGGCGGCCACCCATGAGAGCCGGGACGCTCGGGCCCCCGGAGCCGGCCGACGTGACCGTGTCCAGCGTCCGGAAGCCGCGGCCCCGAAGGCATGGCCGCCATCCTGGACACACACACACGGACGCCGGGGTGCACACGGGGTTGGCTCTTCGCCCGCTGGTGGAGGGGGCGGGGGGACGTGAACCTGGGCCTCCCGGCGGGTCCCGGGCTCCCCGTGCCACACAGGCGCTCACGGCGCCCAGAGATCGGCCCAAGGGACGCGGCCCGGCGCCTCCTCGCACCCAGGATGCCCGGCGTCCCCGGGGGAGAGCCCACGCTGCCCCCGGCCCGGTCCCGCCCTGTGTGGGGACGGCGAGCGGGTGTCACGGCTCGGGGACTCACAGGCGTGCACCCTCCTCACAGGGGGACACGCTTCCCGAGCCGAGCGACGTGAGGGGCGGGGACGCAGCTGTGGCGGTGACGCGTGATCCCCGACGGCTGGGACCTGGGGTCGCTGCTCGGACGGCCGAGCCTGGCCTGCACCCACGTGTGCCAGCCGCGTCTCCGTCTGAACGGCGGGACGCCGGCCCTGGCGACGAGCGCGGGGCGAGGGCCGGGTGCACCTGAGCGTCTGGGTCACCGGCTGCGTCTCCCTGAGCAGCGGGCCCCCCGCTCTGAGCCCTGACGGCCGCACCCTGGGGCCGATGCCCACAGGATGGCGGGCGTAGCCGCCCCGCGCTCGGGGCCCTCGGGTGTCACTGGCTCATCCCCACCCTCGGCCGAAAGCGCCCAGGGACACCGGCACCCGGCTCCCTGCTCGCTGACCGCCACCGTCCTGCGCCGGCCGCTAACTGAGCTCCTTCCTCTCCGGCCCTGGCCGGGACGGACGCCCAGCGGGGGTCCGCGGACCCTCGTGCAGGCCAGCTTGCTCGCAGCCCCTGCGGAGGAGCGAGGCCCCGGGAGGCCCCGGCTCCCCGCCCGTCCCCCCGTCTTCCTGGGGAGGGCGCCGGGGCCGGCCGTCAGCAAAATGGAGCTGAGGCCGCGCTGGGCGGGCGGTGCGGACTCCCGCCCGAAATGGCTGGCCTCACGGTTTCCGCCACTCGGAAAAAAACTCCCTTTCCCCTTGGACGGGACTCCTGAGCCGCGGCCAGCTCCGCGAGGTCCCGGCGGCCAGCAGCCCGCGTCCTGCTAACAAAGGGGACGGCAGCAGCCCGGGCCAGCGGGCGGGAGGTCCAGGCCGGTGGCGGGGTTTCCACCGCGGTCCACTCAGGCCCCACCGGCGCCCAGCCTCGGTGGGAGGCCGCCCCTCTCTGGACCAGCCAGCTCTCCTCTGCACAGGCAAAAGCAGCCCAGGGCGGCTCTCCCGACCGGGGGGCCCCTCCGAGGCCCGAGGCCGCTGCTGCCCACCCCACACCTCTGCCCAGCCTGGCTCCGTGTCGCCCGGCCTGGTCCTTCGGACCCCGGGTCGGCGGCGGGCTGCCGCGGGGACCGGGGTCCCCCGATTCTGCCCATTTCCTTGTTCTCAGCTCTTCGTAAGCCTCCCTCCAGACCCTGAGCCCACCCCCCAAAAAAGGCCGGACCTTGATGTCTGGAGTCCACGGCCCCGGCGGCTGGGGCCTCCTTTGTCCACTCTCCCTACCAGGCCGGGAGAAGCCCCGCGGGCACTTTCGTTTTCGGAAAACGAAGGAAAGACAGAAACTTGCGTCACTCACATTCATCCAGGGGCGCGCGGCTGCGGGGTGGGGAGCGGAGCGGCTGCGGCCCGCGGCGGCCCCCGGCCCCGACGCGGCGGGGCTTGGGTGTGGAAGGCCCCGGTTCCCGCCCTGCCCGCGCGGGAGCCGGCGGCAGGCACGCATCCACGGGCTGATGCAAGGCGCCTTCGCGAGAACCTCACATTCTGAGGATTCCTGGGGAGGCGCCAGGCTCCCAGCATCCAGCACACAGCACATTTGGTTTCAATTAGGAGGGGCTGGGAGCAGGGGCAGAGGCACCAATCAGAGCCGTCCGCTGTTGGGGCCTCGCTCTGCTGACCCACGGGACCCGGGGCAGAGCTGTAATTTACAGCGAAACCCATTCATAGAAGAAAAAACACGTTCGGCCAGGGAGCCGTCTGAGAGGCACAGGCCTCCTCCACCCTGTCCCCAAGCCCCCTCCCTGGAGGACGGGCCCCCGCCCGGCGACCTCGTCTCGTTTGCCCCCTCGGCGGAGCTCGGGCACGGAGGAGGGCTGGGGCTCTCTCCCGGCAAAGCTCCCGGAGCAGCTGGGTCACATACGTGGAGCCGATCTCCGTGTTGCACCCACGAAAGCCTGGGGCTGGGCCCTCCCCCCGAGACCCAGCTCCGTCCCGCGAGCCCCCCCCCCCGCCCACTGGACACACGGGGCCATCGGAGGCCCCCCCAGCCCCCCGTCTTCCCGCCCGAGTCCCCGCCGGTCGCTGCCGCGGAGGGTCTGTCGCTGTCCCGGGCTCAGGCCGCTGCATGAAAACACAAGCGTTCACAAGGACTTTCTAAATTGTTTTGAAAACGTGTTTTTTTTTCCTCCCGTCTGTGGCCATGGCCAGAGATGGTGTGGAAGGGGAGGAGGCAGCCACCGGAGGAAGCCAAGGGGAGGGGAGGCCTGCAAATGATAGCTTATCGTCCAGTCTGTCCGCCCAGGCTGCTGGCCTCCACCCTCCAGAGCCTGGCCGGTTCCAGGCAGCCCCCAGCTGCCCCAGAGGCCCAGGGGTGCAGGGCAGGCCGAGGCCCGAGGTCAGGAGGGGGTGGCAGGGAGACCTAACACCTTCCGGAGACAGCCTCCGTCTGACACCCCCACCCTCAGGCCCGAGGCCACCCACTCTCCTGCCCACTTGCACCTGGATGACCCCCAAGGCCAGCAAGGGGGGGGGCAGACCGGAGCCCGGGCGGGGACCGTGGAGGGACCGCCCCACACGACTTCAGAGCAGGAGCTACTCCCTAGAGGAGCCGGGCAAGGGGCTCCCGGGGGCGGCCGGGAAGGGCCACGCTGCTGGGCCAAGGCCTCCGGAGCCCTCCAGCCGTCAGAACCGGCCACGCGTGTCCGAGTCACAGCGGAGGGCGCGAGGACTCGGGCCGCCCCTGCGCGGGCCACAGGCAGAAAACCAGACCTCGGAGGGGACACTGGGACCGGGGCTGCCTCGCGAAGAGGGGAGACGGCGCAGACAGGACCCACGGGGACGGCCCCTCGAGTGATCCGGAGGGTCTGGGGGGGGCACCAAGCGGCCGGGCCAGGGCCCTCAGCTCAGCGGCGCACACTCCACGGGGCGCGGTCCTGGGAGCCCGCCTCGCACCGCGGCGGACACTCGGTCGTGGACCTGGTCCTGCGGCGGCGGCGGCGGGTGAACCTGGTGAGGGAACAGGGCTCAGCCTCAGGAACAGGGAAGTGCAGCCGCTGCGGCAACTGGAGGGGCCGGCGGGCGGCGCGGCCGGGGAACAGCCGGATGGGGACAGGCAGATGCAGGCGATCTCAAAACGAGAAAAAAACTGGTGGACAAAGCCATCAGACCAGGGTTCCCAGAGGCCGGGCCGGGGGACGGGAGGAAGGGGGGTCGAAAGGCACCAACGTCTGGTTTCAGACAGACGAGCGCCAGTTCCAGGACTGCAGCTCGGTGACCACAGGTGCGTTCTCACCGGCACAGGGTGCCCAGGGCCGGGCGGCCAGTGGGCCCTGGAAGCTCTCGACACAGGGGGAAAACTCTCCTTGTTTGTCTATTTTTCTTTCTTTCCTTCCTTCTTTTCTTCCTTCCTTCCTTCCTTCTTTCCATCTTTTCTTTCTTTTTTTCTTTCTTTCTCTTTCTTTCTTCCTTCTTTCTCTTCCTTCCTTCCTTTTTCTTTCTTTCTCTCTTTCTTCCTTCTTTCCTTCCTTCCTTCTTCCCTTTCTTCCTTCCTTCCCTCTTTCCTGCCCGTACCTGTATGAGCAGGTGCATGTTAGGTGAACCTGCTGTGACCATCCCACGATGCATGTGAATGGAACCATCGCTGGAGCTTATACAGCAATGGATCGCGATTATTTCTCAACAAAACTAGGAAAAAATAAATTCTAAAAAGCAGCAGTCCTGGAATTCTCCCCCAGGAGCCGGGCCTGTCGTGGTCGACCCGTCCACGTCACGGTAGACAGTGCACCCGCGGCAGGGCCGGGGATTTCGGATTCGGTGGGGCTGCCGGCCAACCGTGGGCACTGTCCCGACGTTGCCAGGTGGGTGCTAACAAGGGGCGGGAGCCCCGCCTGCGAGGACCCGTGTCCGTGGTCTGTGAGCTCGAGCCACTCGGACCCGCTTCAGCCGGCGCCGCCGACTACAAACCAGAGGCACGGCCGGCCGTGGGGACTCCTGGGGACAGAAGACCCAAGTGCCACCGAGCTGAGTCAGAGGGAAGGGGAGGCGCCAAGAAAAACACCAGGCCTGCCACTCGATGTCGGCCCGGCCAATCGGGGCCCGGCCTCGAGCCCGCGGGAGGCGCCGCGGAAACCCCAACGTCTGCCTGAGCCGGCCGAGGGGTGTTCGAGGCTGCGGGCGGGGGGGTGGTGGTCGGAGTCGAGGGTCTGCAGACACGGGCCCTGGTGGGGGCGGCGGTGCCCCCCACGGGGGAGCTGGGAGGAACAGTGGAGGGGACCCCGGGCGACACCCGAGCCTCGGGGACCGTGTGACCGGGATCGGAGTGCGCTGGCGCTCCTGCCGGCGCGGGAGCCGACGCGGGAGACCCGCCCCCGCTGTGCTTGGGGACCGTGAGCGACGCCCCGGGGGCGATCTATGCCCCGTGGGGGGGGGGGCGGTGCGGCCGCGTGGGGAGGTGCCTCCCACGGGGCATGAGTGAGGGACAGACGCCCCCGCACCGCGTCCCCGGACACGGCTGGAGACAGGCCCGCCCCTCCGGAGTAGCCGTGGTCTCGGAGCCTCGGGGGTCGGGCCCAGGTTGGAGTGGACGCCTCTCTGAAGGGTGCTGTCCTCCGTCCGATCTCTTGTCGTCATTCCGGTTAGCCCCCAGAAACGACACACGCTCCGTGCCCCGCACCCTGACGGGGGGCTGGGAGGGCCGCCGAGGGCAGCCTGGGAGCTGCCGGGAGCGCGGAGGAAGAGGGTGGCTCTCGGGCACGGGGAGAAGTCGGGGTGGCCGAGGGAGGCTCTCACCGCACAACCCGGGAATGCCCCTCGGAGTCTCGCCGAGCCCGGCCCCTTCCCCGGCCCCCCCCGCCCCCACACACTGCAGACGAGGAGACCCAGCCCCTGGTCGCTCCACCGTCACCAGGTGGGGGGGCCCGGGGGTCTCGCACCCAGGCCCACCTCTGGGAAGACACTGGAAAGGTGGCCACCAGTGGAGGCACACGCCTGAGGTGGCTGACGGGAGACCGAGGCCACCCAGAGAAGGTAAGGGGCGGGGGCTGCCGGGGGCCCCCCAGCTCTTGACCCGACTCTGCAGCATTTTTATTTCTGTCATGAAATTAGCGTCAGAGACGGGGTCTCCGGAAACAGCCCGGGGAGCCTCCAAACCTGAAACAGTGTTTGCAGACACGTAACCGTGCCCTGAGATGCCCGTGTTGAGAGTGAAGTCTGAAAGAAAATGGAGAGAAGCAGGCACACCCACACACACCAACACACACACACACACACACACACACACGTCTTCCGGGGGACGATACAAATAAGAGGCTGGTCAACTTTCTAATCGTTCATGTTCGAGTGTCACCAGGGGATGTCCCCATGGCGTGTCCCGCCCACCCCACGCATGTCCGCGGCCCACGGAAATGCACACGGGAGCATCTCAGACGCAGCCGGCGAAGGCCGGTCCCCTCCAAGCCAGACGAGGTCCCCGGCGGAGCCTCGTGCCGGTCGGTGCAGGACCAGCCCCCGCACCGGTCACCAACGGCTGGCTCCTGTCCGGCTGTTCACAAAGCGGCGGTCATCTGAGAACCCGGGGTGGAGAGAAGGAGGAAGCCGGTTTTGGAATAATACGCGGAAACTTAATTTGTAGTTTTCGGAGGAAAGAAGCAAATGAAGATGAAACCGGTGTTCTGGGTGGGAGGCTCTGAACAGGCTCAACATAAAAAAGGAGATTATGGGAATCTGAACCTATCGTCCACATTTCAGCTGCACACGTGGGAAAAAATGAGGAAACACGTCTGAAATAGCGCTTTTACTTGCCTGCCGACTGAAACGGGCATCTTCATTTCGCTTTCCCCAGTCGGGAGCGGAGCTGTACATAGTGGGCGGGGCCACGCTCTCGCCAGCCTTTCCCTACACGGGGTCTCCCGTGCACGGCAGCAGGGACACGGCCCCTGGCGAGGGGCCGCGGAGACAGGGCTGCACTCCTGCCTCCCACGGGCACGTGGCGTCGTCCGGCCCACCCACGCTGGGCGTGGCCTCCAGGCACGCGCCCCGACCCGGGCTCAGCCCGCAGCCTCCCGGTTCTCGGTGGGGGGGTGGGGGGGGCACTCCGCCAGCCGGGCCACCGCCGGGGCGCCTCACAGATCCTTTTCAGACAATGGGGTGGACAATAGCAATTTGTTGAAATTGTTGAAACAGACCAAAAAATAGGCTAAACACAGGATTTAGGCCTTGGCACGAAAAATAAATTTAGGTGTATTTCATGCTCTTTAAAACAAAGGAGAAACACCAGACCCCCCACTCGGTATCCCACAGAAAACCCTCCGTGGCCTGCCGCCAGCGGGAAGCGAACTGACGAGTCTCCTCCGCAGACGCGGCGGCCAGAACGCTCCCTCGCCCCGGACACCAACTGTCTGTGCTTCGGCCGATGAACGCTAGGTACAGGGTCTTCATAAAGCTCAGCGTTTGCATGCAGAGTGTATTTTAGACGCAGAACCCTTACAGATGATGTACGGCCCATATTCTAAGAACCATGTTATTCCCACTCCCTTTTTCACTAAAAACAAGCAAAACACCCACCTGGAAAGGCAGGAGTGACCCCCCTGGGCCCCAAGTGCCCCTAGGACCCAGGCACGGGGACCCAGAGCTGCTGAGGCAAGGCCCTGCGCCCCGGCAGGCACCTCCACCGAGGATGTGCCCGGTGCCCGCCCTCTGCCCACCCGCCCCACCGCGACCCAGTGCGTGCATGGAGGACAGCTCATCTCCAGGCGGGACCCAGGCCCAGGGTCAGACCGCTGCGCCAGACACCTTGAGTCTGCGGTTCCCTGCGGTGTCCGCCTGGGGGTTTTGTATTTTCTCGGGTTTCCTCTAAGTCTCCCCTTTTCCCGAGGAATAAAGTCCTCCAGGCACAAGCGACACTCCAGAAACAAAAAGAGTTTATTTTACTGTCCAGTTGTTTTCTTTAGAAAGTTCACTTTTGATAAAATAAAACAAAGGTTCGGTACCGTGGAAACCTTCCTGGGTGCACAGAGCATGGGACCACCCAGCAGGGCGCAGACCTGACACCCCGGCCCCCCGGCAGGGCCGCGCCGTGCGCCCGGGCCCTCCACAAGCTGACGTTCTCCTGGGCCTGGGGAACGAACACTGCCTGCCTGACTGAAGGATATAAATAAGACCTCCAAGGAGAGGAGAACCGTGGACACCCTTTCTGAAGTCCAGCACGTGGACACGGCGAAGGTGGGGCGGCTGCTCCAGTGTGAGGCTGGGAGGGGGTCCCGGAGGGTCCCGGCGGCCGTCGGCGGGGGAGGCGTCCCCTGCGCTGGAGGACGCGGCCCCTCACAGCCCGTTCTTCACCAGCTCGTGGACGCCGTGCTCATCGATGACCAGGGGCGCGTGGAACTCCCTGTTGGCCACGTGGCTCTCCAGGCCCTGGGGGCGACAGCGGGGACAAGGTCAGGGGCTGGTGCACGGTGGCCCCGTGATGCGGGACTCGTGATTCAAAGGCAAGAGCTGGGCTGCGATGCCCAATTTAAGTCAGTACAAACCCATCAGGTAAACTGCTAAACTGGGTTTCACGACCCAGTCGCAACCGCCTGAAGCAGTCAGCAGAAAGTACAGTCGTTCTGCGGACAATGTCGTCTCTGAAGTCGGCGGGAGGGTGCTGCTTCTCCATGGGATCACCCAACGAGTGCCGGCCCTCCCAGCCCGATGGCCGCGGACACGAGGCCCCACCCTCTCGGGCCCCGGCGGCGCACTGCCCAGCGGGAGGGCAGTGCCCCCACCTTAGGGGTGAGCGCATCAGTGCGTGAGCAGCCCAGACCCCTGCGTTCCAGCGCACGGGTGGGAAGTGAGCGGCCTGCGGCGGGAGGCGGACACGCCCTTGCTGAGAGGCCCAGGTCTCAGCCCTCAGGTCAAAGGGATAAACCGGAGGGCTCCAGCGGTGGGTGGGGACCGCACCCTCAGGGGGCGGAGCCAACCCCAGGTAAAGGACCCAGAGCGGACGTAGCTGGGCGGCTCCGCCCAGGGGGACCGCGCAGGGCAGGGTCCCCGCGCCGCTCTGGCCTCTCTGCGTGACCGCAGCGTGACCGGGACGCGAACCAGGACCAGGCTCTACTTCTTTAAAGAAGGAAAAAGCAAAGAAACTTACTTCTCCGGCGTAGGAGACGAGGGGAGAGATTTCGCACTGGATCGGGACGTCATTGGCATCCTTCAAGCTGCGAAGAGACCAGGCGCGTCAGGGACCGCGCCCGCGTGCTCCGCCAGAGCGAAGGGGCCAGCGCGCTTGCCCCCAGAGGCTGCCCACAGCAACGCTCCGCTAAGAAACGGCCCCGCCGGCCCCTGGGTCCCCTGGGGATCGAGCTGGCCTGAAGTGGTCAAGGTCAGAAGACGCCGTCTGGGAGGTGCACCCCTTCAGCCCTTCCAGCGCCTCGCTGCGCCGGGACACGCCCCTCCCCTGAGCCTCCTCCCATCGCGCCACTGGTTAAGGCGAGGAAGCGGGGGCCGTGCGCTGACCGCGCACCGCGCTGCAGGTCAGTCACCGGGTGCCATGGTCCCTCACGCCCCCCTCCAGTCCCGCACGCGGCCCAGAGACCCGGGCAGGAGTGTGAGCCGAGCTGCCAACGCTGAGGTCCCTCGCACGGCAGCCACTCGCCACCACGTGGGGCCACCCAAACTCCCCAGAACTGTGAACGTTCGCTGTGACTCTAGAACTCAGCTCTGCCACGTAATGGCCACGTTTCCAGTGCCCCGTGGCCAGGCATCCTGACGACTGGAGACGCAGGCGCAGAGCGGCCCCTACGCAGCTCCCGCCAGGGGCCCTGGGGGCGGCGAGGGCGGCGGTGACGTGCACAGGCGGCACGGTCACCGGCCACACTGACAGCTGCCTGCGGCCTCGGTGTCTGAACCGCAGGACGCAACAGCCGACCGGCGGCGTGTAAATCGCCATAAAGTCCTGGGCCCTCCAAGCTCTTCGCCGTTTCAGGGTCCCGGCAACAAGGTCCCCGGGGCCCGTCTCCCTCACCAGTGCCACAGCCCACGTCCCCACGGGCCCTGTCCCCACCCCGCCAAGCGGCCTGAGGCCACGGCACAGGCAGCAGTCAGCGGGCCCTGGGGCAGCCCCCCGGGGTCTCTGCCCAGCAGAACCACTGGACCCAGCGGATGCCGCCGGCCGCTCCCCCGCTCTCAGGCCTGTGCCAGCTCCCCCCACCGGGGCCTGCGACCCTGCGGCCCACCCACCCTCTGGGACGCAGCCCGGGCCCGGCCTCCCCGACCGCCGCTTCCCGGCAGCGGCCTCCTTCGCTCCCTCGTCTGCGATGAGGCTCCAGAGATGCCGGCACCGCCTCCCGGGGCCGCCACCGCGTGTGCCCCGCACGGAGCACGGAGCACACGGACACGCACCTCGCGTGTGCGCGCCCGCCCCTCCCAGCGGGCTGCCAGGAACAGCGTGTGCCCTGGTGCGAGCGGCTGCTGCCCTGGGCGCACTGACGGCACCCGCGGGTCCGGGCGGCGGCCCTCCCGACCCCGTCAGGTCCCATCCAGACGCCCGGAGCCAGGGCGGCTCAGAGCCACGTGCACCACACGGCGGGCGGGGCCCTACCGCCCGCAGCCCCGAGGGACGGGGGTGCCAGGCCCGGAGGGGCTCTGACCCGGGGAGCACGCAGCTGGTCCGGGCTCAGCGTCCCTCCGCCCCGGAGGCCGGAGAAACCGAGGACGTCGACGTGAGTGCGCAAAGCGGGCGCCCTGAGGAGGGAGGACAGGAGCCTGTCGCCAACTTAAGATCCCAGGGGAGGGCAGTGGGCCCCAGGAGGCTGCCGCCGGGCCTGCGTTCACAGGCGAATGCCGGTCAGCAGGGGACCACAGAAATGGTGTCCCTCCGCCAGAACCCAGCCCCCCTCCCTCCCATTCTCAGGGCCCCGGCGGCCCCCACTGCCCCCCCCCCGCCCCCACCGCTCACGCCGTCTCCTCTCTGGGGGACCTGGGGGTTTCAGCAGGAGCCACGTGACCTCGTTTGGGGACAATGGCTCCAGGGCAACTACTCCACAAATGGCTCAATCAAAGTAAATGGGGAGAAGAGCACTAACTGAACACACTCGAGCGAGGCCCAGCTGTGTATGACTTCTTGCGTCCCAGACGGCCAGGCATGTGGGTAAGCAGCCGTCACTTTCCAGGTGGAAAGCTGTGGTGCAGCGAGAAGGAGGTTGGGGGCCCACACTTATTTCTTGAGTCACAAAGGCGGCCCGCTCCCAAACGCTGCAGGGACAGGAAGCGAAGGGCTGGGCCCCCGGCGGCCCCGCGTGAGGGGCAGCGGCCATCGGTGGCTCCGAGAGGAAGCCAGGCTGGGAGCCCGTCCGGTGGGTCAGGGCCACGTCCCGCAGGGCACAGGCGACCGGCTCGGGCAGGAGAGCGCGCGGGCGAGACCCACACCAGCGCTCCGCCGAGCGGAGAAACGGCCGGCCCGGCCCCTCTGCTCTGCACACGCTCCCCAGTTCCCCCAGCCAACAACGCGAAACGCAGCCTAAACCTCGTCCCTGTGGTCGTGGAACAAGCACAGGACGCCGGCCGTCAGCCCTGAAGGTGATGGCTGTTCCTGGCTGGGGCGCCCAGAGGAGGGAGGACACGTGGTGAAAGTGACCTGCTCCGGGGACAGACAGACTCGTGCCTCGGAGCAGGGCAGTAAGTGACGAAAGGGGCGTGGAGAGGCCAAAAGGGGCGCTGCTCGCGCGAGAGTAAACCCGAGAGCGGTGGTCTGCCCAGCCCGGTTAGCAGCCCCCGCCCCCGCCCCGCCCCCGCAGCCTGAGTGTCCCTCCGGTCCGGTCCGGTCCCGTCCGGGAGACGCACAGCACAGAGTGTCTCTCGCCCGGCTGTGCCCACGCGGAGTGGGCGCTCCCGGCCCGCGCCCCGCGCCGGGTCCTACTGCCCCTGCACTCGCGGGTCCCCGCGCGCCCAGACACCGGGGGTGGGTCTTAGTGAGCATGCTGCCCGCGCCCAGCATGCACCGCGCGTCCGAGTTAGTGCCGCCCAGGCAGCCGCCTGCCACCGAGGAAGCAGCGGAGCCCCCGGAGCCCCCGCCCGGCCGCGGAAAGGCAGAGCCAGCTGCGCCGCGTTAGTGCGGGGAAGCGCAGCCCGTCACCATGCGCCGCGGCAGGCGGGTATATTTACTTGTCACTGACATCGGCTGTGCCGGCCTCGGGCTGTCGGCTCGCAGCGGCGCTGGGTGGGAACAGAGAAGCGTTAATGGGAAAGGGCGAACCAGGCGCGCCAGTGACGTGCGACCGCCAAGTGCACGCGACCGGGAGGCGGCGTTTACGGTGAACGGTGCACCTGGCGACAGAGAGGGGGCGGCGGGGGTGGGGGGGGCGGCGCTGAGGCGGGGGCGGGGGGGGGTGCGGCTGAGACGCACCCCTACGGCCACGGCGGAGCATGAGCGCGCCCGGGCAGCACCGAGCAGCCGGCCGGCGCCCTGGCGTGCGGCCGCTCGGTGCCCCTGTGCCCGACGCGCCGTCCGCGGGAACGCAAACCTCCCGGCAGAGCGCGCCCACGGGCCGACCTGGCGGGGCTCTGGGTGCCGGTGGAGGTTGCTCGCGGAACACACGACTGAGCCTGGAGGGCTTCACCCCAGCGCTGAGCAGGCCCCTCCTCGTTTTAGTCCCGAAACCCCAGAGCATTCAGACAGCTGCGGTCCCCGGGCGGTGAGGGGCGTTCCCTCCCCTCCTGGCGCCTGTCTCTGTGACCTGAGGGCGCCCGCGGGGCCGGGGCCCTGTGTCTCGCAGGTCCGTGGGGGTGGTGGGACTTTCGGGGGACCCCACAGCGAGCCGTGCCGTGAGCCCACAGAGGTGTGAGCCCACAGAGGTGAGCGAGACCACCGCGCCCGCCTCTGGTACGGCTGCTGCTGCCGGCCTGGCCCGCAGGGCGCACCAGGGGGCTGCCTTCGACCGTCCTCCGGCGGGGCCACTTCACAGCACAGTGGACACGGCCTGAAGACCCGAGGGACTCGGCAGGGACTCCCCTCTGAGAGGGCGGAGCTGTCGTGGGTGCACCTCGGCCAGCGCCCCCAGGGACCTGCCTTTGTTAGGGGCGGGGGACACCAGGGAGCGGGCGTGGCGGGGTGCGGTGGGCGGCCTACCGGGGAATCGCGGGCAGGCGGGAGCCGTTCTCGTCCACGAAGTGGCCGCCGGCGTTGAGCACCCAGCAGTGGTGCAGGGACATGAGGGCGTGCCGCGCCGTGGTGGGCGTGTCCTTGCCGTCCTGGCTGTCGGCGTTCTTCAGCGGCGAGAACTCGTCCTCGCGCAGCACCTCGAACACCGCGAACCTCCTGCGCGGAACCACACGCGGACGGATGGAGGCCCGGCTGGAGGCGGAGCTCCGCACAGGGACCCCCGCCCCCACCCCCTTTCCGGCAGCTACGCCTCCGCGCAGCGCCTGCAGGCTCTCTGGCCCGGCTGCGGGCGGGGGCGGGAGAAGCAAGGCTGGTCTCCACCGCGGAGTGAGACCACCCCCGCCCCGGCGGCTCGGGCGGACTAGGAACCTCGGCGCACAGAGGCGCCAGGAGCGTCCGCTCCGGGGAGCAGGAAGGGACGGAGCGTGTCTGGTGGGAAGACCACTGCTGGCCGGCCTGTCTCTGCATCTGCACACCGGTCAGCCCGGAGACGCCCGTCTCAGACCAGGGTGGCCCTGGTGGAGACGCCTGCTCTCAGGTGGCGAAGAGCCCTCAACCAGGGCCACCCTCTGCCTGACCCGTGGTCTCGGCCCAAACAGCGACCCGAACCACCCGGCAGGACAGCGGGCGGCGGGCGAGGGGCTGCGAAGAGCAGCCTCAGGGGCACCCGGCCACCCGCGGGCCGCAGCTCACACGCGCTGAGACCCCACCAGACCCCACGCCCGCCATCGGGCCAGGAACGGCGTCCCACCGGGGACAGTGCCAGGCAGGTCCCGGGCACCTGCTTCGTCTGGCCGGCCACGCGGAACCTACTTGGCGAACTGGAAGATGTCGAAGACGAACTTCTCCATCTTGATTCCGTTCGGCTTGTCGGGCCTGACGAGCCGGCCCTGGGGGTCCACGTAGGGGATCTTCTTCTGAGCCACGTGGTGCTGCAGCCGGGGCTCGTACACGCTGCGCAGGACGGGAGAGGCCGCTGTGCGGACGCCGATCGCCACATCTCCCTGGCCGCCACGCGAGAGCCCCGTGCCACGTGAGGCTCCCCAGGCCACAGAGCGCCCGCCCACCGCTCACGCCAGGTCTGCCCCGACCCCAGGTTTCGTAACCGTTCTCCCGTCAGAGCTCTCCCGGGAGCCGAGGTCGGGCGGACAGTCGGGCATCGACGGCCACTGCGGTGGACTAACGGGGCGCGAGCAGCACCGTGGGCAGGGGAGCGGCGTGGGCCCGGCGCTGACGCTCTGAGCGCAGTGACCGGGCGGTCACCCCGAGGGCCCGGGGCTGTCCAGTGGAGCACCGGGCGGCAGAGCGCCCTCCACCCTGAGGCCTGGGGACACACAGTGCGTCCCCCACTTGGGCCTCAGGGCGGACCGCCCCGCCTCCACCCCGGCCGCGGGCTCTGCTCCGGCCACTCGACCGCACCAGCTCCTCCAGGCTGGCGGGGGGCCCGCTCCCTTAAAGTGCCGGAGCGGCCCCGCAGCACACGTCCACCCCACGTCCACCTCTGGGAGGGCTGGCCCAGCAGCCTGAGGACATCCGCACCCTCAGGTGTCCAGCTGCGGGACAGGCGGGGTCATTTTCAGCCCGCACTTCCCCAGGCCCTGGCTGGCAGGGGGCGGGGGGAGGAGAAAGGGCGACACTGTGCCCTCGGCTCACGGCCCGGGAGCAGGCTCCTCGCCCACCAACCGGCAGCCACGGTGTGAGGCTCTGCCCCCGGTGAAGGGGCCCCTCAGGACGAGGACGGGCTCTGCAGGGCCGGCCCGGGGCACCTCCCACTTCCCACGCTGCTCCGTTCCTGACCGAGGATGAAGGAAGTCCCCCAGAGCCCCGCCCCCAGAGCCCGAGCCCCCGCCCCCGCCGGTACCTGACCACGTCCCTCAGGAACGGCACGGTGAAGAAGTGGTTGGCGATGTTCCCCGCGCTGAACAGCAGCCGCCCGTCCGGGCCCCGCCGCTGCGCCGTGGCCAGCGAGATCTCGCTGTACTCCACCACCTGGTACACGCCGTCCACGCGGCACACCACGCCCACGGGCTCCGTGGGGTTCGTCTTCTCCACCACCTGCGCCGGACAGACAGCCGCCACTGCATCGGCCGCTCGCTCCCAGAGGCCACGCTCGCGGCTGCGCTTACGTTCTCTCTGCGGCGGCGTCGCGTCAAGAGGGATCTTCACCTCCAGGCGGTCACCTGCCCCTCCATCTTCCTCGAAAGGCCCTTTCCAGCCGGAAGCGAGGTTTCACGCCCAACCAACCAGGGGGCGGAGCGCCCGCCGGACCCGGAGCCCAGAGGAGGCGCCTGCCTGGGAGCAGTGCACGCGCGGAGCCGGCCCCCCCACGCACGCACGTAGGTGCCAGGGGCCGCGGTGCTCCGCCCTAGCTGGCACCGCGCCAGCCGCCCTCCCGCTCCAAAGCGGCGCCTCCCTCAGCTCCCTCCCAACGCAGCACCGGCCTCACTTGCCGGGGCCCCGCCAGGCAGCGGGGCAGAGCGGGCAGGTCCTGGGCCCTATGGGAACTTGGGACGCAAAGGCCCCCCAGCTGATCGGCTTCCCACGCCAGAGCTCGCGTGGGAGCTGCTACGCTTTCAAAACAGTCTGCAGACCGTGACCTGACCGTCTGCCGATGGCCCTGGGTCGGTGGGGAGCCGGGGAAGGTGTGCCGGAAATCAGGGGGAAACGTGGGGACGTGTGATGTCAGACCGACCCCACAGGTGCCCCGACCCGCCAGCGTCGGCGCTGCAGCGACAGAGATGCTGAGCGGGCCAGGGCCGGGGGCAGGGCCGTGCCGCACGGCCGGACGGACCCCCCAGCTCAGGGTCAGCTCGGGGCCACTCGGCAGTTCTTAAACCCAGCCAGCCACCCCTCTCCCCGGCCTGCCCAGCGGTCCTGTCGCGGGACACCCTTGGGATGCCCTGTCACCCGCCTTGCTGACATCTGAGTCCACCGCCTGCGCCACCCGCACCCGCGACTCCCGCGGCCTGCTCTGGCGTGCGTCGGCACTGACGGGCCATCCCCGGGCGGGAGCTGTCGCGGGCGAGTGCACCGAGTTCCTTCTAGAGGGAAACGCTGCCAGTTTAAGGTGGGGGTGGGCGGCCGAGTGCTTCGGGGGGATGGAAGGGCCTCAGGTGGCCCGGTCACCCCAGTGACCCCGGCGGGACTCGCGCACACCCAGGAGCCGACAGAGAAGGACCGCGGGGGCCGCGCCCGGAGGACGGAGGCCTCACTCACCTTCGCCCCGCAGTCCGCGCCCTTCTGCAGGCAGAACCCGACGAACCGCGGGTCTGCCACCCGCACCAGGATGTTGTCCACGCAGTACACGTGCACGGCCGCCACGCCCCTCCGCTCCATGTCCTCCACCACGCGCTGCGCCGCCAGCGCCCGGTACAGGCCGCCGTTCCCGTCTGCGGGCGGGACAGGCCCTCAGCACGGCCACGCCCCCGGGAGGGCCCCCCCCCGCCCCCCCCGGAGGCGGCTTCCCGGGGCCAGGGAAGCGGGGCGCCCACAGGGAAGATGCGGCGTCGCCACGCTGCGAGACCTCGAAGGGGACGCGGCCCGGCCACCCGGAGCGGGACGCTGCCCAGGAGGGACAAGTCCACCCCAGAGGGCGTGGCTTCCTCTGGAATCTGCCCCGTTCACCGCGCAGCCGTGGCAGGCGGCGCAGAACCGTGTGCCGGCCGGCGACGGTCTGGGACAGGTCCGGTCCCACAACCCGATGGGCTCTGTGCGCACGGCCCGCCCACGGCGCCCGCCTCCCGCGGGAACGAGCGTTTCGTGCCAGACCCTGGGTCTGACCCAGGCTGACGCCGGCCACCGCCCCCCCCACCCCGTCTGCGTTTGCTGCCGCCCGACACACGCCCGCCGTGGGCAGCCTGGGCCGCAGCCTAAAGGAGAACGAGAGCCCAGAGGTCAGGGAGGGAACGGGGAAGAGCGCTGCTCGCACGGACTGAAGAGAACCGCGCGGAAGGGGAGGGAGCGGACTGAGAGCGCCACGGCCCGTGTCCTGTCGGCCGCCTCCTCCAGGCTTCCTGCACGCGCGGGCCGGCGTGGGCACGAGGACCCCCCCATAGCTCCTCCCCGGGCACCACACCCGGGGCCTCTGACAGCGAGGCCAGCGCTCTGTGAGGAGGGGCGTGGCGGACAAACTCCGACTCGGCCCGGCCCGTCCCGTCCCAAACTGCAGGAGCCGCCCGTGTCCGCGGCCAAAGCCGCGGCACCGCGGCCACCGCTGTGCAAAGCGCGGGGCGGAGAGCCTGAGCCGGGCCGGTGCGGCCGGGGCAGACCCCACAGAGGGTAAAAGCACACCCATTGCCCCCGCAGGCTGTGACGTTTTTAAAAACCACTGCCAATTGAAAAAAAAAGTACGTTAATTTTTAACACCCAAACCCCCATGTTAAAAAGAAAGTAAGAATTCGACGGTGTTGGCTACGGCCGCCTCTAGTCCCCGCCGCCCACGCGAGGCCGCCCACCTGGAGCCATGGAGACCTTGTGCTTCTCCTCCAGGATGACCTTGCCGTCGAAGCTCAGGGCCGGCAGCATGCCCTGCTGGAAGAAGACGACGTCCTGCGCCCGCAGGCCGAAGTGCCGGTGCCTGGCGAAGAACTCCCGGGTGGACTCCATCGTCCGGCCGCTGGTCATGATGTACCTTGCGAGAGAAAGCCCGCCCCCTGAGCGGCCGCGCGGCCCCCTTCCCGCCCGCAGGAGGGCTGAGTGGGCCGGGCCTGCTGCAGGGGGCTCCCCCGCCGCCCTCACGCTCCGCGGCACCCGAGGGCTCGCGTGACAGCGCCACACACCCCGCAACACACGGCCCCCGGCCCGCTGAAGCGAGTCCGACTGTCCCCGAACTCTGGGAAGGTGGACTTCGCGATGAAGACCCCTGCCCTACGTGAATAGGGACAAGAAGGCGACTGCAGTACACTCTGACGAGCTCTCTGGTGCCTGCTGCGACCGTCTGGAAACGGAGCCTGGGTCTGGTTACCGGCCTCGAAACCACAAAGCGAGCTGCGCCCTGTGCGGCCCGAAGGCCCGGCCCAGCCAGGAGGCCCAGGGGGGCTCCCGTCTATGGGGGGCACCAGCAGCAGCGTCCCGAGGTGTCTGATAGGTGGCTCGGGGAGGAGACGGGCGGGCCCACCCCGCTGGTGTCTGTGTCTTCGACAGAGCGCCCTGGGCACCTGGAGGTCTGCATGCCAACAGCTTGGGCACGACTCACAGGGTGACAGAGGGGCCCACAAGAAGCAGGACTCGCGTGCCGTGAGGGGAGGAGGAAAGCCACGGGACCGGGGAGGCCTGGGCTACGGGTCCGACAGTGGCCGCTCAGAGCACCAATGTCCCTCTGACGACGTCCCCAGAGGGACGGAGACGAAACAGGAGGTGGGCCAGCCCGTGCGGGAAGCGCCAGGCCCCCTGGGAGAATGTCCGGAAGGTGTCAGGGCTGCAGGAGCAGCCCTGATCAGACTAGACTTCAGGACAGGGAGCGACTCTCCCGGGGGCTGAAGACAGCAGCTGCCCCTTCCTCGTCTGTTTGCCGACTGGGGTCCAGGCAGGACAGAGAGACCAGCGGAACCCAGGGCAGCAGGGACCGCGGACCGCGGTGCCGGGAACAGTGGAGCAAAGCCTTCCCGTCTCAAAGATCCGGGTGTCCGACCAGACGCCGCACACACGGCAGACGACCGACCAGCACGAGGCTGCCGGAGTGAGCGCACCCGCCGCCAGGACACACGGGGGCCGGCCGGGGCCAGCGCTGGAGGAGCGTGCGTGCTGCTCCCTGAGGGGCGGGACCCCTGCTTGGGTCGCCCTCACACGCCCGGCCTCCGACCTGTGAAGCCGCAGCTCCCGAGCCCGCAGTGGGGCCAGGCGCCGAGTCTGCCGTGGGGGAGGCGCACCCCCCCCACCCGCGGGCCCCGGGCGTCTCACCAGGGGATGGTGCACGGGCGGCCCCAGCACTTCTCGGCCAGCTGCTGCAGCTTCAGGATGCGCTCCGCCTGGATCTGGAACAGGGTCTTGCGGGACGGCAGGCCCACGTCGTACATGCCCTTGGGGTAGGCCACGCCGAGCCGGGTCCCCTGCCCGCCGGCCAGGAGGAGGACGGCCACCTTGCTCTGGGAGATCTGGAAAAGCCCTGGGAAGGGGGCGCTGGGGTCAGCGGAGCCCCGGGGTCCGGCACGCACAGGCACAGGCCGCCCTCCCACGAACCGAGTGGGGCCCACGCGCAGTCCTAGGGGCTCTCTTGTGGATAAGAACACTTGCGTGAGGGAGAAATTCACCCGCACAACCCAACAAATGCCAAACAACACACTTCAGTGAACTAGCACTCAGTTTCCTGACTGGCATTTGGGTTAAGTACATTTATGCCCAGTTAACATTCCTGAGCCTTGGTCTTTGCCGTCCAGTGTCACCAGAAACTACGAACTTCCCCTCCTCCAGATCTGCAGGAATACGGAAACCCCAGAAAAACACATCGCTGGATCACCACGGCATCTTTCCCTTGCTGGACACGAGAGTTAGACAGCTTCCTCCGGGGGTGGGGGCCGAGAGCGGGGCCGACCAGAGGTCAGGAGAGAGCCCAGGGCCAGGGCACAGGCGCCGCGCCCGGGGCTGGGCCCCACCGCCCCTCCCTGGCGTCCCGGACACGCTTCCTGGCGCCGTCTCCAGGCACCAGAGAGTTCACAGCCACGTGTCACGGCTCCAGCACTTCCTGGGTAACTTCCCCCTCAGGCAAGTCCCTCCCCCCCTTCCCCCCCCTCCCCCCCGCAGACACCTTGACGTGGGCACCTGCCTGGCTGGGCAGGAGGCTGCCAGGCCGCTCTGCCAGTGTGGGACCTGGACCGGGCATGGGGGGCACAGGCGGCTGACCGGGGAGGGGGCAGAGCAGAGGCCCTGTCTGTCATTTTTAACCACGGCCGACACTGGCGTCACAGGTGAACTCTTCCCCAACACGTCGAGCGCACTTCAAGCACGCTGGGTGAGCGGGCCGGTCGAGGGAACCTCTGAAGCACCGCGGTTACTGGGGATCCCCGCGAACTTCACCGGCACAGCAGCGACGTCACGTGACGTGACATGACGTGACATGACGTGTGGGCAGGGGGAACGCTCCCCGAGGCTCAGAGGCGCGGCTGAGCTCTGCGGGGGCTGCACACCTGCCTCAGGTGCGACAGCAGCAGGGGACGAAACGGGCTGGAGCACAGGTCGCACCTTTCTGGTAACTAACCGAGGGATGGGGCTGCGGGGGGGCGGGGGGGTTCATCTCACGGCTTTCCTCTCTGAACACCTGTTCCCAAACATGCTTGAAATGTTTCATCACAGCAAACGATTGAAGCAGGCTACGAAACTACACACGCACCATAACCCGTGCGAGCGTGCGTGTGTGTGCGTGTGCATGTGTGCGTGCGAGAACACACCACCACATGGCCGCCTCTGGCTCGTGGGTGGCGGCAGTGTCCGGTTCGGCCCGTGACCGTCAGTGACTCCCCCCCCTCCCACGGGAGCACGCGTGACTTGTGGAGTGACACGAGCCCGTGGAACACGTCAGTGTGCCGTCTCGGGAAGAGGGCAGTGAACTCCCTCCCCGAGGACCCCTCCCCGGCGGCCGCACGACCGAGAGCCCCCTGGGGGTGAGTCGTCCAGTGTCCCCCGGGCAGAGAGGGCCGGCCGCGGGTGCGGACCTGCGACCACACTGTGGAGTTGGAAGATTCCTCTGTGCTTAGCGTAAACACGCAGTTGTTTTTGAAAGAGGGGCGGGGGGGTATTAAGCAAATGTATTTTCCCAATGGAGCGTCTTTCCTAAAATGACTCCTGGCCGAAGCTTCTGCTTCTCTCTCGAGAGCTCAGCGTGGCAGGACGGAGGTTTCCTGGTTGCTCCCCCACAGCTGGCCGGGACGCTTAGAAGAATTAAAACAGAGTCTGTCCTCCGCAGGGAGCACTGTGGCCACCTGAGTGTCTTCGTCAGCGGTCTTCCCCGTCGGCAGCCCCCAGGCACTCTGGAACGACCGCGCAGCGCTGCCCTCTGCCCCAGTCCCGTCCCGGGGGGGGGGGGGACACGCCGCCTCCCGCCCCAGCACCGGCCCCTGGGGTGCGTCCCTCCTGGAACAGGCGTCACCACGCTCACGGGGGCACCCTCCCCCCCCGACGGCCCCTGCGGGAACCGCGCCCTGCCAGGGGGTTGCACATGTGGAAGTGTGGGGCTGAGCAAGAAGGACACAACGCCAGTGACAAAGTCTCCTTCTCCACACCCACGAGTAAACATCTCCCCGGACCCGGAGCCAAGAGGAAGTTTGCTCTGGACCTTCTGGCACTCGCGAGGGCGCACAGGTCCCCGCGTGCGATCTAGAGGAGAAGCCGTACGTGCAGGCTAGCTGGACGGGCTCCAGCCAAAAGGCCGTAAAGACTCGGGTTCTGGAGCCTGGAGAGTCACTCCTGGCCCTCACGCCGCAAGGTCAGCGCCGTGGCCGTCCTGTCCACAAGGGCTGACCTGACGCCGCGCCCCCGGGGCTGCGGGGCGTGCTGGCAGTGGGGGTCCTGGGGGGGGACCCAAGGCTCGTGGGGCTTGGAGCCGGAGTCCCGGCCTTTCTGAGGCGCGGGGAAGGAGGCGGACCGGCGAGTCCTCGGGCAGCAGGGGTCACGGTCCCTCAGACGCCCTCCTTGCCCAGGGCTGTCTGGAAGCTGCTCCCCCAGCTCAGCGGCGGGGCCTCCGCTGAAGAGAAGCTGGCTTGTCACTACCAAGCCCTTCAGAGCCGCGAGGCCCTCCTTGAAGATTGTCCACCTGTTTTCAGTGGTCTTATGTCTCCAGCCCTTTCAATAAAACTCACGCAAAGATCAGAGTCATACCACAGGTCAACTAGGACCGCTCCCGTGGTGGGAAGGGAGGGGAGGGGAATGGAGACCCAGCTGCTCAGACTCCGCTCCCCAGCCCACCCGAGACAGTGTCCGGGAGTGGGACCCCTGGGGCTCTTTGGAGCACAGTTTGAAAGTCGGCTGGTCTCTAAGTCCAGACAAAAACACAGAGAGCTACACAGAGGGCCGGTGACAGCAGTCACCTCTGTCCTTGGGAGGGAGGGCAGTGAGTGCCCGAGGATGGGAGGCGGGACAAACAGCCACAGGGGGCGCGCGCACAGACCACGAGGCCCACCCCCACTGCCACCACTGCCCCCTGAGGAAAGTGGTCATCGGGGCCGGGCGGCGGGGGCGCAAACCCCACAGAGCGGAGGAGCTGACAGCAGCCTCTCTGTGCCGTTCCTGCCGTTCTGACGCTACTTCTGCAGTAAGGTCGTGGTTTTTAAAAAGAAGGACCGGCCTCAGATCAACCACGCCCTTGGGCAATGGGTCCGGAGCTGACCGGGAGCACTCGCGAGACTCGAGGGCCCGGGCTGCGCGCCCCGTCAGACTGTTGTCCCAGGGGACGAGGTCACAAGGCGCCGGCCCTCACCTCCAGCCACACAGCGGCACGTGAGGGGTGCCCCCGACCGCAAAAGCACGACTTAGTGCTAGTCACAGGGGCAGGCTCCTGCTCCGCTTCAGAGGAAAAAGCACCGGGGACTTGGCAAACATGTCGACCGACCGACAACGGAAACCTGCTCCCAGCGGCGTGTGGTGCGCAGTCCGCGGGGCGCGCCTCGGGCTGCTCTGCCGGGCTCGTGAGCAACCCTCACCGCAGGCGGGACGAAAGCGAGGCTGCACCAGCGCCCTCCTGGCTCCTGGGACCTGGGGCCTGCACCCAGCGGACACGGCCGTGGGCCAGACAGTGCGCAGTGAGGCGCGGCACGGGGACAAGAGGCCCCCAGGCAGAGCTGCAGGAGGCGGGCACACAGCGGCCCCAGGGCAGCGTGAGCAGAAGCAGGAGAGGCCCCCCTGGGGTGCCCAGGGGGAAAAGCAGCAGGCCTGGCGAGGGGGGGAGGAGGCGGAGACGGTGCTTGCTGGGTCGGGCAGCACGAGCTCGTGGGTCGTGCTTCAGGCAGGGACCGCTGGGAGCGGGGGCACTGAGGGGGGGAGGGACTCGTGGTGGTTTCAGACCTGCACAGGAAGAGGCCCGAGTCGGGCATGGGCGCGGGCAGGGGACCAGGGACTGGCAACGGCAGGCGCGGGTCTGAGCAGAACTACCGCCACTTCCTGACGGTCACCTGGCCGAGGCAGCGCGACGGTCCCGGCGCCCATCACACAGCCCGCCGGCCAGCGCGGCACAGCGCACCTGGCAGCCGAGCCCGGAGCAGCCCGCCCGCCCGCCCGCACCTTCGCTCTCCCAGGCCTGGAGCTGCTCCTGGTCCCGCGTCGCGCTGCCCAGCACCTCCCGGGGCACAGGCTCCATCCGCGCGTCCACCTTCTCCAGCCGAGAGGACTGGCCGAACCCTTCCGTGGCCTTCTGGAAGAAGACGTTCAGCTCCTCAAAGTCCATGGCCTGGAGCTCTGCGTAGAGCTCCTCCCGCTGGGCCTCGTCCAGCTCGTCCCAGAACTGCAGCAGGTGCTCCTGCCCCGCCCGGGACAGCCTGAGTCTGAGGCCAGTGACATCCATGATGCTCCGGGCGCCCGCTCTGCGAGGACGGGGGTGGTTTCTGCTCCTATAAACCTGCAGGAGGAAGGATCAACGGAAGGTCAAGGTCCACCCTCAGAACCTGACGGGTGTTTCTCACGACGAACGAGCGCACGCGGGACCTGGAGGGCGAGACACGAACGTCTGTCTTCCCATCGCGAGTCCCGCGCGACAGCGGGGCCGTGAGCCGGCGCAGCCATGAGCTGGCACGCGGCGTGACCTGCTGCTGGGCGCTGCCCCAGCCCCTCGCCTGCATGGTCTCGCTCAGCCTCCACAAGGCCGTGACGTGGGTCCTCCCCTCGTCTCTGCCGTCGGCGGCTGAGCGGGATGTGGGCACAGGCAGACGGGCTCCCGGGCTCCCGCGCCCCCGCACGCCGTCAGCCCCCCTCGCACGCCCCCTCTGCCCCCCGAGCTGCCCCGGAAGACCCTCACGCAGCCTCGGGTCTCAGGCAGCCTCCTTTCTGCTCCGGAGGGGAAGCCTCGGGCGCAGCGGCTGCGGGGCGGCAGGCACTCGGCCCGGCAGGCGCTCAGCCCGCTGGAGGGAAGCGGGAGGCTGATGCCTCCACAGCAGGGGGGACCAGAGCTGGGGCGACTGGAACGGCGGCTGGGGAACGAGCAGAGGCCTCTCCCCGCAGGGCCCTGTGGTCCAGGCAGCGGCGCGGGGGTTGGGGGTCAGGGGGGCACTCGGAGCAGCCAGTGTGCTGGTCGGAGGCAGGCTTGGCGGGACGGCTCGCTGCCGTGTTGGGGACGACGGTCACGAAGGCCCAAGGGGAGCCAGCTGGCTGTCGTGGAACCACCAGACTGTCTCCCCGAGAGACGACACGGCTCCACACGGTGGCTGAGGTGGGGACGCGCAGGGGCAGATGCAGACCTGGTGACGCGTGAGCGGAGAGGCAGGCCCGACCTCCACTGAGGGCCGTGGGCAGTCTGAGACGAGGGTCAGTCATCCCAAGGGAAGAGCTGACAAGACTCGACACGCAGGCGCCTGCAGCTCAGAGGTGACGGGCACACAAGACCCGAGTCAGGGCTCGGTGGGACCCCAGGAGGGCGGCCGGCAGGCAGAGCAGGGGGCTCCCTGAGATGTCAGAGGCCTTTCTGCTGGCACACGTGGGCTTCAGAAGATAGGATGCCGTTGCTGAATTTTAAAAGCACACCATGTGCCCTGGCCAGTGTGGCTCAGTGGACTGAGCGCAGGCCTGCAAACCAGAGGGTCGTGGGTTCGATTCCCAGTCAGGGCACACGCCTGGGTTGTGGGCTGGGTCCCCAGTAGGGGGCGCACGAGAAGCAACCACACACTGATGTTTCTCTCCCTCTCTTTCTCCTTTCCCCCCTCTCTGAAGATAAATAAATACCATCTTTAAAATAATAAAATGAAAATATACCATGTTGAAGAGACAGCTGGGAGACACAGGTTCCTATGAAACGATTTTTCCAAGCACCGGGGGAGACCTGAGAGCAGGAGTCCGCGCCCGTGGTCCCTCCCCCGCCGTGGGGACGCCATGCGAGCGGTGTCACCCCCCTGAGCACACCCTTGCCCACGCAGGGGACGCTGCCCGGCAGCCCGCGGGCCGAGTGCTCGAGGCGCGCACACGGCAGTATCCCACTTTAAGCTCCGAGCTGACCTTTTCCTAAAAGCCGTTGACACCCACCCACCTCCGGGCGAGAAAACCAGTCCGAGCAAATAAGGCGCCCGGGCCGCCCGGCCTCGCCCTCGGGGCGGCGTGTGTGGGACTTTCTCGGGCCGAGAAGCCGCAGAGGCGGCGGCGCCCTGGTCCCCTGACTCCGGCGGGCGCGAGCACAGCGCTCCGAGCCCGATGCCGCGCGCCCGACGACCACAGACCCGGCATCACCCGCCTCCGAGCGGCTCCCGCCCGCTCGCGACAGCGCCACCCCTGCGACCGGCGGGCCCGGCCCACCCTCCACGTGTCCGGAGCCCTCCCGTCCCCGCGCCCGGCCGCCCTCCGCCGTCTCCAGGGCTGTCCCACGCCGCGAGCGGCGCGCGTGGGCTCCGTGCCGCTGTCACGTCCCGCCGGCACCCGCGCCCCCGGGGCGCCGCCCTCGGAACCGCTGTCGCCCCCTCCCCCGCGGGGCCCCGGCCCATCGGTGCCCGCCACCCCGTCCCCGGAGCCCCCGCGGGCCGAGCTGCCGCCTGGCCCCGGCCCCGTCCACGTGCGACCACCGCTGGCTCCACACCCCGCCCCCGGCCCCCGGCCCCGCCGCCGGGCCCCGCCCCACACCTGGTCCCCGCTCGTCGCTCCGCGGTGCGGCTCTCAGCGCACGACCTCTCCGCGACGGCGTCCGCTGGGCTCGGCTCGCGGCCCGCGCCGCTGGCATAAATACCGCGGTCCGGGCGGGCGGCGCGCCGGGGGCTGGCCGGGGGCCGGGCGGGGAGCGCCGCCCGCCAGCCCGCCCCTCCGGCGGCGGACAGCTGCCCCGCGGAGGAGGAAGCGCGCGCCGACACGTCAGCGCCGCGAGCGCGGGGCGCGGCCTGAGCTCCGGGGGCGGGGCCTCGGCGCGGGGTGGGGCCGCCAACGTCACTCATCCTCCCGGCCAATGCGGGCGGCGCTGGGCTTCCGTCACGCACGGCCCCGCCCACGTGCCCCAGCCCAGAATGCCGCCCGCCTGGTGCCCGCGCGCGGCAGCTGCGCCAGTGGTGCCCGCACTCCGGCTCCGGGGCGGGCCACGGCCCCGGGCGCGTGTCCGGACGCCCGCGTGGCGGTTGCGAAAGACCCGGTTTCTCAGCCAAGATGCCTGCGGGCGGGCCTCACCCTTGGACCTCCGGCTCCACTCCTCCGGGTGCCCGCAGCGCCCCGCCGGCCAGTCTCGCGTTTTCAGAAGGTCCTGAGCGTGAGGCCAGGCCCTTTTGCTTTTGCAAAACAGGCGCGAAAGGAGACAGGGCGTGGAAGTGCAGGGATTAGGTAAACTGAGGCAGTGAGAGCAAGCCCAGGGCCCGCCCGGGGTGACTGTGGCCTTCCCCTCCTCGGGTTCTGGCTGAGTGACCCCGAGGCCACGGAGGGCCTGTGTTTTAGCTCCCGTGTGCACCGCCAGGCTTGCCCCGGCCTCGTGCACGTGCTGCACGTGCAGGCGCGGGCTCGGCACTTGGCCCTTAGAATCGTCGGTTGCGTGTGAAGTTGGGATGCACTTGGCAGTTTTGCAAGAAACACGAATGCTGAGTCACCATTGAATTAACGCGATACATGAAGAATTCCAGGCATTTAGGTGACTCCTTCCTCCTTCCCGAGTGCAAGTGGCCTTTTCATTTCCTTTGTGAGTTGCAACAGCAGCCACTGCATGAAGAAACAGACTAATTCAGGAGGTTGAGTCCTGCTGGGCTCAGGCCTGCATTCAGGGGGTTGAACATGCTCCTCTCTCATAACCCCAGAACTTCGCCCTTTTAGCTGTGCATCTGACAGCCGCCTGGAGTGTGAGTCAGCGCCTGATATTGCTGGGGTCTCTTGCTGGGCAAGTTTATTAACTCTCGGGCATCTATTCCTCATCTATACAATTTTTTAAAATACCCGTGCCATGACTGACGTGTGTGGCTCCATAGGTTGGGCATCATCTGGCAAAGTGAGAGGTCGCTGGTTCGATTCCTAGTCATGGCACATGCCTGGTCAGGGAGTGTATGAGAAGCAACAGATGGATGTTTCTGACACACGACGTGTCTCTCCCCCTTTATCCCACCCTTCCCCTCTCTCTTAAAAAAAAAAACAACCCCACCTTAAGGTTGTGCTGAGGATTAAACCAGTAAACACAAATAACAAATGTAGAATAGAATAAATACTAAATAAATCCTAATTTTTGATATTTGATATTTGATATTTGAGTGCTTCCTTTCTCGGGCACTGTAGTAGCTCCTGGAAACCTTGATACACATCCCGTCGATGGGAAAGCCTTCTGCCGTCTGGACCCTGACGTCACGGGGAACATTCCTCTCAAATCTGCCATGACATCGGAGAAGAAAAACCACTCCATCAGTGGTGCCAGGTCCCACGTAGAGACCTGGAGCCTGCCCACCACTGTCACCTTCAGCGTAGGGAAGAGTTTAAGACCATTGTTTTCTAAAAAGATACTGATTGTTACTCCTCAACATTCCGACTCCTCGAGAAAGAAATACACGAGGGCTTGGAGAAACTCGAACCGGGCGACACAGACTCACAGTCCCAGTGCCACCCTCACAGGGAGCGTGTCCTCCAATCTCGCTGAACTCGGTCTCCCCCTTTCCAAAGCGAGGGCGATGCCTCCTTCGCACGGGCAGGTGGGCACAGCAAAAGTCAGTGAGCAGGAGCCTCAGGCAGGGCCCGGAGGGCTGCGGGCATGCATCACTCCCAGAGGAGTGAGCGAAAAAGAACAAAATCTTTATAAAGAGTCGAGAAAAGAGGGAGAATCGGGGCCTAGCACAAGTGTGCGCAGTGAACTATGATGAAATCAGATTTTTTACTTTTACCCTTTTTGCTAATTTTGGTTTTCTAGCTCCAAGGCATAAGAAAGGTTTTCATCTCTTGCTGGATAAATACCCAGACACTTCTCACACCAAAGAGTTACTTCTACCCTTTAAGACCTTTCTCGCCCACACGGCCGGATGCTCCCGGGGCCGTGACTATTCAACGGCAGATGGGAGGCATCAACGGGGGCAGCTGGACAAGGGAAGTCTCGTGAGGCTTCAGAATAGGAAAGAGTGCGCAGAACAATCCCGATTTTCAAAGGGCAGGAGCGGGCACCTGGGAAACCCCAGCACATCAACGCGACTGACTGCAGCTGTGAAAATCCGCGATGAGGCTCAGTCAAGCATGTCAGCAAGGCGGCAGGCGCACACAGGAGCGACAGGAGTTCTCACGGACACACGCGACCAGTGCTCAGGAGACGTGATGCACAGAAACCCCGTTTACAGCAGCAGCAGAGAAAAATAAACAACTCAGTATGAATCTCACGGAAAATGTGCAAACCCCATTGAGGAAAGCTGTAAAACGCTCCTGCGGAAGACGCTTGGTCAAATGGAAAACCACCCCCAGCTAACTTATAAATTGCAGTCCTTGTTGAATTAGAAATGTGTAAGTCAGCCAAGCTGATACCAAAGTGGTCATGGACAACGAAACAAGAAAGAATGGCTAGGGAAACACGGGGGGAACATGAAGCTACAGAAGAAGCCTGCCCATCAGATATAAAACATGCTAAGAAGCTTCTGCAATTCAAACAACGTGGGACCCGCAAGTGACTGGCGGAACAGACTAGACGGTCCAAGGCAGGCCCGAGGACCGTCTGGCAAAGGACGCACCTCCCAGCACTGGAGCGAAAAAGCGACTTTTGTCGTAGCAAGAGGGACGACTGGGTAGCCACTTGAAACGAGGTGAAACCAGACCCACACTTCACACCATTCACGAGAATAAACTTCAACAGAGATGGCAGCGTAAAGTGAGAAATCATACAAGTACTGGAAGAAAACAAGTCATACTACACCTAACTACCAAGAAATAACAGACAGAGAGAGAGACTGAGAACTTCCACAAAGCGTCTTTCAGGAAATATTGTTAAAGGAAAAAAGCAAAGTGCGCCTGAGTATTCACAAACGAAACACAGGGACATTAGAAAAATACGTATATATCTGCTTATCTCCAGGGAAAAGAAAAAAAAAAAACACAAAAACACAGGAGGGACAGGCCAGACATCTCGTCTTCTGGAAGGACCCAGCTTACTTCCCAGAAGTGCATTCCCTCGTCAGAGTCTGGCCCGGCTCAGGGCCGGGGTCAAGGCCGGGCCTGAGCCCGCATGAGGTCACCGTTTCCAGGAGACGGGCGGCTGGAGTGGAGGCCGGGCTTTGACCCTCCGAGGACACGGCACCTCCTGCTCCCGGGAGATCACCGCCCCTCCCGCACTCCAGACGCCCTGCAGCTCAGCGTGTGTTCTGAAATATTGTGAAATAACGAACCCACCCTGCTAAATGTTGGGTTTTTATTTTGGCCAAACTACAGCTCCTTGAAACCGACCATCCCGGTCCCTCCTGATTTGCAGTTTTGAGATCCACGGTTTCAGTTGCCCACAAAAAATATTAAATGGAAAATTTCAGAAACAAACAACTCCTGATTTCACACTGAGGGCTGTTCTCTGCGGCGCGATGAAAGCCCGCTTGGCCCCGCCGGGTCCCGCCCAGGACGCGAGTCACGCCGTGTCCAGCGCGCCCACGCTGCAGCGCTGCCCGCCTGTCCGCCCTCGGGACCACCTTGCTCAGAGGCTGAGCCGTCGCGACGTCTCCGTGCCTGCGCTCCAGTCGCCGTTATTTCACTGCACAAGGGCCCACCGCGCAGGAGGAGCGACCACGGCATGTCCAATCTGCCAGTGAGGAGCCGCAGGGGCTCCGCTTAGGGGGTCCAACCTTTCGGCCTCTCTGGGCCGCACCGGAAGAACAGGAGTTGTCCGGGACCAATGCGTTAAATACGCAGACAGTAGTGAAAACCGATGAGCAAACATAAAGGCTTCACGTAAATTTACGGTTCTGTGTTGAACCGCGCTCGCGGCCATCCTAGGCCGCATGCGGCCCGTGGGCTGCGAGCTGGACCCCCTGTGTCCAGGTGAACAGGTGTGTGCAGGCAGGAACAGTGCGGACGGGGCTTGGTGGCATCCACAGTTTCGGGCACCCTCTGAGGGTCCTGGAGTGTGTCCCCCGCGGGTAAAGGGGGGCAACTGGAACTGAGGAGGGGTGTCGGGGACAGAATGGAATGGACCAGGGAGAAAGCAGGCGAGCGTGACAGCATGTGACCGTCACAGAGACCAGCGCCTGGGGCTCCGCACTGAGTGCATTTTCTCGGGTGGGAGAGTAGGCCCCCATCCCAGGGCTGTGGGCCGGCGGTCCTCCGGGCCACGTCCCCTACCTAGCTCACAGACAAGAAAGCAGGATCCCCCCAAAGTGAGGGGGCTTCTCTAAGAACCACCCGGGGGTTTAGGACGGAGGAACCCGAGGGGCAGGCGGCTGCTGGTCGCCGTGGAGTTCTCAGTCCTGACTCTGATGCACGGGGGCGTGTCCGCGGGGAGACCCCGAGGGAACCGCCCGGATCGGTGTCTGACCTTCCCTGCTACCCGAGGGCACCGAGTTTCGAGGCGAGCCTGCATCCTCGCCTACCTGGTGCCTGGTCGGCTGGGTGACCGCCCGCCCACAGCCTGGCCTCGGCTCTCTGGGAGGGGTGATGTATTCGGGCTCATTGTACTTTCTGCCCTGTGCTCCTCAACTCGGTACGAATGGGGCGCAGGGGCTACTGCTGGACACCCCTCCGGGCACATGCTCCTCCTCCGAACCCACAACGGACGAGACTGGCTCGGTGGGCCGGGTGCTCCAACGGGTTTCGCGCCAGGCCCCGTCCTCCCCTCGGCCCCCGAGCTGCTTCCCGCGAACAGAAGGGCCGGCACGGCCATGCACACCTGGCGGCGCCGGCTGCCCCGGCGTCACAGCTGAGCTACGAGGA